TCCAGCACCCTGGCATAGACTTTCCCAGGGAGGCTGAGGAGTGTGATCCCCCTGTAGTTGGAACACAACCTCCGGTCCCCCTTCTTAAAGATGGGGACCACCACCCCGGTCTGCCAGTCCCTTTACAGTATAATATTATAGTGTAATATTTATATAAACAATAATGCTAATAATAAAAACAACAACAGGTGTAATGTATATCACCTGTAAAAACAAACAACTGCACTAAAGAGAAGTCAGATCTTTAAACTTAGATTAACAAACTTAGATTACAAAGGAAATTAGCAGTTCTATGTAGTTTAGTAGCAGTTCTATCAAAAACCGCTACTGTGCAACAAACTGTGCATAATGACTTCATGGAGATCCCTTGTGACTGCAGGATGTGGCAGACAGCAGTCTTGGTGTGTAGCTGTAATTTAATAAGTTGAAAAAAAGGGGGTGCATAACTCAGCTATGCTGTAAAGGCTGAATATACTCAGTGTACTCAGTTTTTCAGTGAGTCTACTGATGTTTCAAATCTGGTTCATTTCTTTTTTATTGAGATAATTGTAGTTTTCCATCTATAACAGTGGTATTTAGTGGCTTAATGAAAACTTAATGAACAAGATCTGCTGTTACCAGTAGTTTCATTTGTCAGTGATTTTGAGAGCTGAAAATGAGTTTTTGATTTACTGTTGTTTATAGATTGTTTCCATATGCAGCTAAAAATCAGATAGTGGGGTAACAGGATGGAAGGTGGATGTGAAGTTTTATAGTCCCACTTGGGATAAAAAAAAAAGTACTACTTACTGATACTAGTTGTCCTCATAATTCCTATGAAAGCAATAATGGTCTACTTGGTTTCTCTGCAGAGAAATGTGAAAACTTGCTTTTCCACATAACTGTATATTCTTCACCCTTTACCACCACTGACTCCAGCTACTGGCCAATGGCTTCCAATTTTTTAGGCTTTGCCTCTCCAAAGCATGACATGGACACACAAGTTGCATTAAGTTGCAGTAAGCTGCAGTAACAGCAGGGGGGAGATTTTTTTTATTTCAGGCCAACATAAAAATAATCACAGGAACATGTTTAAACAGACATCACTAACACATTTACATGTAAATATATATGAGCCAACTTACTTAATTGTTTCTGCCATGGAAGGACCCTGGAATCTATTTTATACTTTCATTTTTGAGTAGTTACTTTATGGCTTTAATTATGTATATATTATCTCACCCTGGTGGTGCCCATTTCATGCTTTGTTTATCCAAAGTGGGAAATGGACACGGTGGATGGAGTCTCTGAATTGCCTGTTTTATAGGTTGATTACTTAAGGCAGTGACTTTCAGTTGTGCTGCACAAAGGCAGCTGTCTATTAGGAGTTGGTGGGTATGCGTGTTGTGGTTCCTGGGTTTTGTTTCCCTTTTCGAGACACAGGTAGGCGGGGCGGTGCTTGATGGCATTCCGGCACACCTGCGGCGCATCGGACGTCATCAGTGGGAGCATTTATGGAGCTGAGTGACGGACGTCTGGTGTCGGAGTACTGTCGCTTCCACAAGTGGTAACGTGCTTTTGCAAGATTAATCTGTTGGTTCCACGCTACAGAGCTGCATGTTTTAAGATCCGTCTCCTGCCTGCTTTCCCTCGGCACCAGCCTGTCTCGCCGCCTGCTTGCCTGCCTGTTTCTTTGTGTGCTGGCCCTCTTTGGATCTGTGAGAGAGACTTACCTCGCGCCGGCCTGTGACCACTGCCATACCTGTATTTCGGTGTTTCAAGTAAGCTCTCCAACTCTCCCCGTCCGCCTCAGTTTTACTCTTGACTCTCGACGTTATTTCCTAACTCTGTTTTGTCCCTCATCCTCAGGTAGCTCCGGTGCGCCATCTATCCTCCCGCATACCTCATTTACCCGGCCACTGTATATAGCCCCTTCCCTTGTAAATATTCCCCTATCACTGTAAATAAATCTGCTTCACCGCGATCCTGTGCCCGTGTGTGTTTCTGCCACTAAATCCACCCGTTTAAATTCCCCTAACACTGTCATTGAGGATGCTATTAAATTTAAGCTTGATCATAGTCTGAGATTACCAAAAAGCACCTCTGAATGACACAGGAAATCATTCCTGCCTGTGGCCATCTCCCTGTACAACTCATCTTAACACACTGTATACTCCAACAGGTACACGCTTTTTGCACATGCTCTTTTTTCTTATTCAGATATTTATTAGTAAGTGACTTATATGTATGTATATATTGTATATATTGTGCTATTTCTTACTTCTTGTATTGTCTTTTTTTGTTACTGTTTGTACTGGAGCACTGTAACCAACATAATTTCCCCTAGGGATCAATAAAGTATTCTGATTCCGATAGTCGGCATAGTCACATCAGAAGTATATTGTTCTGAGTTCAGTGAAATTGCTCTAAAGCTCAGCTTTTCAAATATGCAGGGCACTGTATTTTTAACCCTTTAGAACCGGTCGGAGCGGGCACGCTCTGTTTTGCGTAACTATTTTTAAATCCCGGTAGCTCTGCAACCAAGTAAGCTAGCGCAATAATTTTTTTTGCATATGAAACCGGAGGAGTTGTACTTACATCTTATGCCATCAGCTTGTCCTAGGTCACTGTTTCCTTCCACATATACAGTAGCTTTGCAAAAACTGCATAAAAAGCACTTGCAGCAACAAAAACATAATATTCCAGAAACACGCTTCGCCGATCCGATCAGCTGTTTGTAACACTTCCTACGTCCATCAGCGCGAACTATCGCATGTCCGACATGACCTGCCCAAAACCGGAAGTGACATCATTTTGCGGAAATGTAGTTTTTTACGATCGGGGCCTTATGAGCCTATACTTGTGTTTTTAAAAGTTATGTTTGAGTTTATGACTTTCTGCTTAGGACTCATATAGCACAGCTGGAAATAGTTTATTTTGATGCATATGCTGTTATTTTGCAAATTTGCATTATAATATTTATTTTCGTTTTTCCTGCAGTATATGAAAATTGGTGTATTTCAAAAATAAAACTATGAAGACACTTAAAATAAATTTCCTGTGGTGGGAAACTAGTTTGTGCAACTTTTTTGTATTTACAGTTTTGAGGGATAAGCCTCTTAAATTTCTCTAACTAGAAATATATGTTAAAAAAAACAAAAACGATTTTCAATTTTTTTGTAGTTTATTGCACTTTTTTGCAATTTATGTAATTACTATGCACCTAATGCAGACATATTATTAAAGTTTGGGCTGTAATGGTTGTATTGATGTATAGCAACTTGAAATGCTCCCAAAAATGGCTCCACAGCATGTAAAAATATAATATAAGCTCTGGCGGACTTGGTTCTATGGTAGGTCTTAAAGGGTTAATGGGCTGGTTGGTACTGCACTGGTTGGTTAGCACTATTGCGATATTTCTTTGGTGCTTGAAGAAAAATTTACATGAACACACTCACATGAGACACAGACCTTCACAATAAAACAGGAAACAAGAAACCACTAAACAAAGACGCAGACAGAATATAACACATGGAACTTGAACTATGCAAAACATGAGACACCACCAAAGAGCAAATCCTAAAACATGAATAAACAGAAACCTATAATTCTCATAATGGTCAACAATGTAAAAGAATCAAAATACAATCCAAAATTAAACCAAGACACGAGAAACCCAAAATACTGGGTCAAAACTGACCCAGAACCGTGACAGTACCCCCCCTCCAAGGGCTGGCGAAACAAAAGACAGAATAACCAGGCCAGGGTGGGTGGAGGGGGTCCAGGATGGAGGGAAAGAAACGAAACAGAAAACAAGGAGCATGAGTCCAGATCAGTCCATAAACAAGAAAACAGTTCAACACCAAACTTGGGGTCGACCCGAAGGTAGACAACATGGGGCCAAAAACAGTTCAGGGAGCCGGCCGCGCGGACAGCAGCAGCGGCTGCGACGCAGGCAAAGCAAATTAGGAGGCTGTGGCGGCAACCAAACAGGTCCGGAGGCCGGCCACGCGGAAGGCAGTGGCGGCGGCGAGAGAGCAGGTCTAGAGGCCACCCTTGACACCCAAGTAGAGGCCTGGAAGGTGGCGGGCAAAGGCGAGGTGGTACAAGCCAAACTGGATCTGATGATGGTGTAGCAATCGCAGAACCAGACGTGGATGAAGCCGACGTGGATGAAGCCGACGTGGATGAAGCCGACGTGGATGAAGCCGACGTGGATGAAGCCGACGAGGCGGGACCAGGCGAGAATGAAGCCACACAGGCTGGACCTGGACGGCAGCGTGGCGGCTGCGGAACCTGACGGCAGCGTGGCGGCTGCGGAACCTGACGGCAGTGTGGCGGCTGCGGAACCTGACGGCAGCGTGGCGGCTGCGGAACCTGACACTGCAAGCGACGGTGTGGAGGTTGCAGGCAGGGATGCTGCAGGTGACGATGTGGAAGTAGCTGATGATGATGCTGCAGGCGACGGTGTGGAAGTAGCTGATGATGATGCTGCAGGCAACGGTGTGGAAGTCGCAGGGGATGATACAGCAGGCGGTGGCTGAACGGACTTCCCCGGACTGTAAGCAGACATGAGGATGTGCTGGCTGGGTTCTCCTGAACCCCCAGCTGACGAGGCGTGGTGCTGGACGGGCTTCTCGGGCCCTCCAGCTGACGAGGCATGAGGCTGGATGGGCCCCTTGGGCCCTCCAGCTGGAGCAGATGCAGGGCCAGAGGCAATTGGGACCTCTGGCTGAGGGTGAAGATGAGTGACTGACTGAATGGGTGAATGCACTGGAGCTTGAACTCATGACAAAGTTAATGATTCCTCTACCAACTGAGCTTCTGACTGGGCTATGGACTGTAACAAAGTTTGCAATAAGCGTGGTTGTGTTAATGACTGAGCTATGGGTAGCGGGGCTGAAGACTGAGCAGAGGGCGACTGAAATTGAGCTGAAGGTGGCTGCTGGGCAGCCGACTGAGGTGAAGGTGGCCGGGCAGCTGACCTAGCCGGCTGTTCAGACAAAATCCCAGACTCCTGCTGGGACTGTGAATGCTGGCGGCGCATCTGCCGCTTCCCTGTTGAAATGGGATCAGGGCTGGCAAAAGGTGATGTGGAGAAACTCTGCTGCGGCTGCGGCTGCTCCTGCTGTGGTGTGGAAATGACAACTGCTCCAGTCCGTACCACAGGAGAGAATGGAAGGGAGATGATGGCGAGGGTTGCATTTCTTCTTTAAGGGTGGATCGAGTGATTTGGCGATAAACCTTGACAAAAAAATGCTGCTGACGCCGAGAACACCAAGTAGCGAGGGCCTCCAGGAGGACATTTGAATTTTCCTTCCCTGGACTGCCCGTGCTAAACAGTTCAAAACTGAGCTTCGCTCTCAGATTTATTATTATTTGTTTTAGTCCTTTGATATTTAGGAAACTGACAGTGGAAGCAGTGGATGACAAAAAATTATCAAAAAACACTTCCTCCAGCTGCCTCTTGTAGGGGTTCGCAGCGTGGATTACCCTCCAACAGTAATCCCATAGGTGCACGAGATACTCCCCCTCAGAGGCGAAACGTGAGTCCACTGGATCCATACTGGTCGCGTTGTTCTGTCAGGGCTCTGTGTGCGGGCAGGCGGAGATGAGGATCCAACTGCAGGCCTCGAAGACAGAATGCAACTCAAAACCACAGCTTTATTACTGGCAGGAAAACAAAACATGACGTGAACACGGAATGCAGAGAAAAAACCACACAGGCATAATCTGAGGGTATGACGCGACACTGAGCACAGGAAAACACAGGGCTAATATACACAGGGTGGTAATCAGGGAATGGGCAACAGGAGGGAGACACAGCTGGGAGAAATTGGACTAACGAGACAAGGGAGCAGTAGAACTGAACACACACACAGAATCAAAATACAATACAAAATACAAAATTAAACCAAGACACGAGAAACCCAAAATACTGGGTCAAAACTGACCCAGAACCGTGACAGAAATGTCTAGACTATAGAGAAGTCAGGCCTTGGAACTTGAATCGCAAAGGAAATGACCGCACTTCCAACATCAGTTTTGACACATAAGATGCAATGACAAAACAACCTCCTGAGGTGTTGAGAGATTTCTTTCATTTTCAGTCCATATACAATTGGTGTCACAATGTTTGACATGGACTCACGCGCAGATCAGGTATCCTTGGCAAAAGAGAAAGTGCGTTTATTTACAGTGAGACAACAGGTGAGAATATATATACAGTGTGGCAGGGGAAAGGGTCCGGGGCTCCAGGGTCCAGGGGGAGACAGGGATTAATCCAATACACGCTCTCAGTGGGGTCCAAGCACACACACGCTCGCTCGGGTCCAGGGCAGATCTATATACACACAGAGAAAGAAGTCCAGGTCAGGGATAGTCTCAAACTCTCAGGTTCAGGTTCAGGTTCAGAATGCTGCAAGTCGACTCTTAACAGGCATCAACAGAAGATCTCATATCACTCCACTTTTGGCCTCCTTTCACTGGTTGCCTGTAATTTTAGGTTTTATTTTGAAATTTTAGTTTTAACCTTTTGGCCCTACATGGTCCTAAAGGCTAGAGCTTTTTTAAACTTTGTGGCTTGTTTGCAATGACTATTGAATGCTCTGAGACACGGCCTTATTATATTCTGTACAGATTCTTTATTTAACACAACGAGGATGATGCTCTTGAGTTCTGTGCTTGAGTACAGTTATTAATCACAGAGGCATACTGTGCATGGGTGCAACTGAACGTTGCCTGAGCTCTAATACAGATCACTTAAATCAACAAACCATCGTCATCAGTGTTGCCATCTCCTTAGTAAGGAAAATTGCTATTGGCTGTCCTAAAAGTCGCTAGAAGTCGCTAAATGACGTCATCGCCTAATTTGCATAATTGATCATGCTAATGTAATTGTAACCTACGCTGTTGAAGAGAGAAATAACATCGTGGAAGAGACATAAAGTCAGTAAAAAATGTCTTAAATGCATTTATAATTTATTTCTTTTAGCAATTATTGTTTTTTAATGTCACAATTCCAACTCTGCTCCTTTAACCGGGCTTGGACCGGAAAAAGTGATAGGTTTGAATGTCTCCTGCCCTGATAGCAGCTGGGAGAGGACTATCCTCCACCTGTGAGCGCTTTGCCATGGGCGAGGTACACCCACTGCTTATTGAGAGTAAGAGCGATATGCGTTTTCATGTCAAAAAGTCGTCATAAATAAGGCTCCAATAACACCAGAAAAAGTTGCCAGATCTGTCACTAGTCGCTTTTTAGGAAAAAAGTCGCTAACGGGGTCTGAAAACTCGCTAAATATAGCGACAAAGTCGCTAAGTTGGCAACACTGATTGTCATGTATTTCTAAGAATTCACTGTATGTTTTCTCTCGCTTGCTCTCTCTCTCTGGCTCCTCGCTTTCTCTATTGCTCTAAAGCACCTTGTGTTTTGGGCTTTCTAGAAGATGTGGTCAATGGCTGTAGTGGATGGCTTGCTGCACACCTGTTCTCAATCTTCTCATCTAACTCAGTAGTTAAGCACCAGCTTGTTATGAGAACCCTGCTTCTGAGATATCCTCTGTTCTGTTTATCTTAGCTGTATAGGATGCCCTTTAGAGTGACCTCTTTTGTTGGTCCTTCTTTTGGGCCATTCACTTCAACTCCTTTTCCACAGTATTTCTGCTGCTACATCAAAAAACATTTTCTGTACAAACTGAAACACAAATACAAAACCAAATTAACATCTATTAGGCGACCTTAGAGGTCTCTATCTCCATTCCAGTTTTTTGTTTCTATGCTAATGCCCTTATCTTTACATAATTAATGCTTCTTTAGAAAACACTAAATGTGTTCTTGTGTTGATTCTTTCTGAAATGACAACTCTTTGCTAAGATGCTAATATTCTTTATTATTGACACACAACAGACATGAAAACTAATAACTTGAATTTATAGCCTTGCAGCAACACAGTTTTAAGTTAAGAATAAATAACAACAGCAAACAAACAAATGAAAAATGCATTTAAGAAAACAGAAAAACAATGATCCCTTGAGGTGTTTTTATATTACAAGGTAAAGAGAGTCCATGTGGATGATTTGCAAGTTACTGCTTGTTTTTTGTGGACACCAAATATAACATTGGAAACAAATCCCTTAGAGTGCCTAAATAAAAGAGCAACTCATGTAGCCATATGAGTATTGTATACAAATATGCAAATAGCAGTATATTTATAGAGAATATTTAAATAAATCTGAGTAAGAAATACACTAATAACAATATCAAGCAAAAAAATACAACAATCTTAAATATATAGTATACATATGCTATACAAAAATAGATCTCAGACAGAGAAAAGAAAACTTCTATACTGTGAAACATAATACACACATGAACGCAACAATTGAACCAGACGACATAAAAAAAACACACATTTAAATTACATACTTTCAACATGAGCTTTGCCAGATGTTGAGCTTTCCTTCACCGAACAATTTTTTGAGGTGTTTAGAGATTTCTTTCATTTTGAGTCCATAAACAATTGGATTAAAGAGAGGATGATATGAACCATATAACCACTTGCAAGATCAATATAAAATGTGCAACATTAGGCAAATTCATTTCTAGATGAGCTATAATATAAGCTGCATTCAGCTTTTATGCTCCTTATATCTGGAACAAACTCCCAGAAAGCCTCAGATCAACTGAAACACTCAGTTTATTTAAATCCAGGTTGAAGACTCACCTGTTCTCAGCTGCATTTGAATAAAGCACCAAATCCACACTTTTAAGCTTAAATTTCAAAACTTACACTAACTACTGATCTTATCTATTTCTGATTTTATCTGTTTTGATTTTATATACTGTTTTGTTTGTTAATTAGTTAGTTAGTTAGTTTGATTGTTTTAATCAATTTTAAATCATGCTTTTTACTTGTTTTTGTTTCTAATGTCTCTGTAAAGCACTTTGAATCACCTTGTTGTTCAATTGTGCTATACAAATAAACTTGCCTTGCCTTGCCTTGCCTATAATTATATAATATGAACACAAACACGAAAAGCTGACTAAAACGAGCAAGTGAGGTAAACAGGTCTGTGCAGCTTTTGTCCTGACCTCCCTGCAGCTGTCACGGCACTGTTTTAATTGATATTCAGATAAACAAACAGGCAGGAGTACAAATTTGAAAAGACTATGAACCATCAAACCAACATAGTTAGTTAATCATTAGCTCTCTGCATTGTTAAATTAGTCTCTAAAGGGTTACAAATGTGTATCCACAAGCATAAACAAAGATTTACAAATGTGTAGTAATTTATATGCAATTTTCAGTACTTACAAATTAATGCTTAAATGCAAATGCAAATACTTTCAAGGGCCCGAGAGGCCTTTTTCTTTAAAGCAAAGTTTTTATTAAAAGATCTGATTAAACTCACAAGTCTTAGTGGGCAGGAGTGTCACACAGGAATGGAGTTCACTGAGCGGTGACTATTGGTTCAGGAGCGAAGGAAACTGGAGGTGGAAGGATTAGCGCTAACACAAGAAGTAAACAAAGCATAAGCAAAACATAGAAGCCAATTTACCACCTTGAGGTAGCAGATAATTCAACAGAGAGTACAAATCTGAGCTGACAGTGATTGGCTAGTGATTGCTGCTTATGACCTGCAGGTAAGGTGAGGCACAAGCTGGTAACCAGAACTCTGCCCAGAATGGGTTGGGGGGTTGGAGTCAGGGTCCACAATACAACTGGCACTCAGTTTGGACCAGATTAGAGATTAGATTAGATGAAACTTTATTAATCCCTCGGTTGGGTTCCTCCGGGAAATTCAGTACCATTCAGACCATGACAAATACATGGTCCAAATGCAAATACAAAGTAATTTTAACAAACATGAAACAATTTTACAAATGTGTGTATAAAAACCTGCATAAACAGTAGTAGCATCACTTGTGGAATTCCATTATGGCCATTCTGGTAGAGCAGTTATGATTTTTATTATTCTTGCTCAAGTGTCTTGGCCATTAATTGCTATGCTATTATGTGTTATGTTTTTATGTTCAAACTTCAAAAGAAAAAGATGATTAAAATTTACATTCTTATTCCCTGGTTCTGTTCCGAACACCATATCATGATTCAGAAAAATAGCTCAGAAACCTGGTTTTATGAAGGACTGCATGGCTGAGTACAATATTTCATTTCATTATGTTCCTGTACTACAGATTTTCAAAATTCATGCATAATAATTACACTCTCCAGTGTGCACTCTAATTAATTAAACAGACAAATCTTTATTTAGATTTTCATGATATATTCCATGAAGAAATAACTTTCAAGAATTTATATTGTTGAAACTCCAAAACTTAATTGAAACTCCAGTAACCCAACCCCCCCACCAACAGTTGTTTTAAAAAAAAAAAAAAAAATCTCTCCACTGTAGCTCTACAGTAGTTTCCTGGAGAGAAACTACTGTAGTTATAATCATTGTTATCAGCAGAGTACTACCAAATGTTGATAGAATACAGAATGGAGAAATGGAAAAGTCACTTTTTTACTGTCACACATGAGAAATTATTTTTATTTAACTACACCTGACATGACAAAACAACCTTTTTAGGTGTTTAGAGATTTCTTTCATTTTCAGACCATATATAAACGGATTAAAGAGAGGGTTATACAAAACCACTTGTAAAGTCATTATTAACTGTGCAGTTTTTGGAAAATCAAATTCTAATTGACCTATAATGACATCATATGCACAAAAAGTAGTAAAAATGCTTAAAACAAACAGGTGAGGTAAGCAAGTCTCTGCTGCTTTTTTCTGGATATCTCTACTGCTTCTGTAGGTTATTAGAAAAATCTTTGCATAGGTGAAAAGTATGAACAACACAGGAAAAATAGCAACATTTAGCAACACAATTAAACCGTAAATTAATGCTGTTCGTGGGCTCTCACAGTAAAGTTTCCACAATAAATTATTGCAAAAAATCCCTTTCAAAGTGAAATTACAGAGTTTATTATTAAGAACTAATGCATGCGACACTGCAACTTGAAGGCCAGGCAAAAACCAAGCTACAAATAGCAAAATATTGATGGTTGTTTGTCTCATAATGACTGGATACTTTAAAGGCTTACATATAGACACATATCTGTCAAATGCCATTGCTGATAACAGTAAGAAATCAGAGCCACCTATTGAGTAATACATAAAATGCTGAAATTGACATGCTGAAAAAGAAATCACCTGTTTTTCGGATAGAACATCAACAAAGAGTTTTGGGTAGATCGCAGTGCTGAAGACAACTGAGTTCACTGACAAAGCTGCAATGAAAATGTACATAGGCTCATGGAGATTTCGATGAATGCAGATCAGGAACACAATGGTTGAATTACTTATAATTATTAAAACATAAAGTGCAACCATAATTAAAAAATATAGATATCCGCATCGCTTAAGTTCGACATAACCATCAAGGGTTATATATGTTACATTTAATTCATCATCCATTGCTATATTCAAAAAAAATTTAATCAGTAATGAATACGACAGACTGTATAAACAGACTTAGAAACCAAGAGAAGACTATCTTGATTTTATACAAGCATGAGATACCAGACAGTAAAATCCTGTTTCTCAGTCCACATCTATGAATGTAAATGGTTGTGTCTGGAGCACCGCAAAGAGGAGAGGTACACAAAAATTACACAAACATAAAAATGCATTAATCCTACTAACACATACACACATGCAATTACGTTCATGAAGACCAGACAGCATGTAAGCATGTAACTTCCCTAAACCCAACACCCCCTAGAATTACTGGGTTTTTTATTTTCTGGTGCAAGTCCCGAGGTGTTAAGCACCTCTGAGATTTTCACAGGTCGTCAGCTCGTTTCTCCTCCAGCTTTTGTTGTGCAAACCAACCATTATCCTTGAGGCCTGGCACATTTGCATTTGCTCACTCAGAGTTGCTCAGATCCAAGTCAAGCCAAACCTCTGTGTTACAACTTTCAGAAATACATACCTATACAAAATATCCCACACATTGACTGACCTGCAAATATAAAAGACGCACATTCCCACCTTCCTTGACTCTCAGCACAGATCTTCCATTGTTCCATTGTCACTGTGTATGTGAGGAAGTGGCATTGCTTGACTACAGCACAGTGCTGTGCATAAAAGCAGACCGACCCAGGCAGGAGAATGATTTCTTGTTCGCATTTCTGAGAATCAGGATGGCCTCCGTATCACTGCCACACAGGAAGAACCTCTCCACGCAACAGGCTTTGGCCTTGCTTCAGGAAATTGACGAAGCAGATTCTGATGGAGGAGACGTTTCATTGGTCCAGCAAGCCACTGATACCTCCTCAGAAGAATCTGAAAAGGAGACAGAACAAGAACCCAACATGCCTCCACAGAAGAGGCCCCCGTGGTACTGGGAAGCCCAGCCAGAGCCAATTATGCAACAGCCTTTTTCCAATGCATGGAAAAGGCAAGCTTGGTATGATATGATCTGTTTCTCAGATAAGAAGTCAATCAAGAGCTTTGGGTAGATGTTAGTGCTGAAAAGAAGAGAGTTCAATAACAAAGCTGCAATAAAAATTTACATTGACTCATGAAGGTTTTTGTGCATAACAATAAGGCATATGATAGAAACATTAAAGCAAATTAACAGAATATAAGCTGTAAGCATGATCACAAAATAAAGATATTTGTATCTGTGAATTTCCACATGCCCACCAAGTGTTACATATGTCGTATTGAAATCAGCATTCATGAAATAGTCAAAAACAGATATAATAGTTATTTAAAATTACCTGGCACCCATATACATCCGGTGTCTTTGTCAGAATTCAGAAAATAAACCAAATGCCAATGTTTGTGCAGCATTTTAAACCAGACTATGTCACCCTCCGTGGACCTTTTTTGCATCTTAACAAACATTTCATCACCATCACAAAACTCTTGAGGCCTAAATTTGATCATGCTGTATGCATACACAGTAAGTGCAACACACATACACACAAATCACTCACCAAAAAGAAGGCATTACTGGAACTAATTGTGTTCTTTATAGTACACAAGACATAACATTTAATCACAAATTTAAAAGGTTTGAAATGGCACGAGCTGTATAAGCACAGGCGATAACATAGGTGAAACCTAGCAAATACTGATGAGGTTAGTGACCACAGAGTCTCAGAATCTAAACTAAGGTTTACAATGTCTTGGCTTCATTTATAGTGGGGTCCAGCCTGCGATTTACAAGTACTTTTTTTTTTTTTTTGTTACAAGTAAAATCTAATGAATGAAACTTTCCACTGCTCATGCAGACACACCGGTAGTCTAATCTTCTAATCTTTTTTAGTTTGTTTCTTTCCCAACAGCCCTTTTCCTGATTGACAATTCCCCTTCCAAGTAAATAATTAAGCGCCCTCCGGCAGACGTAAGTTGGGCAAGTTTGGCATAAGTCAGAGGTGTCCAACTCCAGGCCTCGAGGGCCGGTGTCCTGCAGGTTTTAGATATGTCCTTGATCCATCACAGCTGATTTAAATGGCTAAATTACCTTCACAACATGTCTTCAACATGTCACTCTCAGCACTGGAGCCCCCCAGGGGTGTGTTCTGAGCCCCCTACTGGCCACTACCAGCTCCACCACCATCATCAAGTTTGCTGACGACACCGTCGTGGTGGGCCTGATCTCTGATAACAACGAGACGGCCTACCTGAAGGAGATTAGGAATCTGGAGAACTGGTGCCAGAGGAACAACCTCCTTCTAAACGTCAGTAAGACAAAGGAGCTGATAGTGGACTTCAGCACTAAGCAGGAGAGGAACTACCAGACCCCCGTCATCAACGAGTGCCCAGTGGAGAGAGTGGACAGCTTCAAATACCTCGGAGTTCACATCACGCAGGACCTGTCATGGTCCTGTCACATCAACACCGTGGTGAAAAAGGCCCGTCAGCGTCTCTACCACCTCAGACGCTTGAGAGACTTCCAACTGCCCTCCAAGGTGCTCAGGAACTTTTACTCGTGCACCATAGAGAGCATCCTGACGGGAAACATCTTAACCTGGTTCGGGAACAGCACCATGCAGGACAGACGAGCTCTACAGAGGGTTGTGCGGTCAGCTGAGCGCACCATCCGCTCCGAGCTCCCTGACCTGCACTCAATCTACAGCAGGCGGTGCTGGACCAAGGCCAGGAAGATCGTGAAGGACCTCAGCCATCCCAACAACAGACTGTTCTCTCTGTTGAGGTCAGGAAAGCGATTCCGCTCCCTGAAGACCAACACAGAGAGACTGAGGAGGAGCTTCTTCCCGCAGGCGATACGGTCTCTCAATCACACCACCACACAGTACTGACCCACACATATGGTTCTTACACACACACTGGACATTTCTGGACATTGTTTTCACTTCATCTGTCACGATCCTGGGTCTTAGGACCCAGTGTTTTGAGTTCTAGTTCATTTTGATGTTTATAGTATGTTTAGCTCATTAGGCCTCCTATGTTCATTTGCTTATTAGTTCCCCCTTGTGTTTCAACCCATGTTAAGTCTCCCCTGCCCTTCATGTCTCTCTGTGCCCCCTCTGTTCTGTTTATTGTGTGTCTTTGCATGTTTGAGTTTCTTGTTTTCTGTCACCCTGCATTGTGCATTATGTTCTCATGGTTGGTCTTTTGTTACTCCCTCTAGTCTAGTCTCTTGTGTTCAAAGCTGAGTATTTCCCTCTGTGTATTTTGGTTCTTAGACCTCTGCCTTATGGTTTGTCTCTGTTTCTTAGTTGCTGTCTCCACTGTCTAGTTCGCGTCTCTGTGTGATACTTCCTGTTTTACTTTGAAGGTCCATGCCTCATGTGAGTGTTTCTAGTTTTGCGTCTCTGTCTCGTCCAGTCCTGATTTCTCCCAGCTGTGCCCTCCTTCTGTGTCTCATTCCCTCGTTATCCCTCTGTGTATTTAAGCCCTGTGTTTCTCTTTGTCAGTGTCGTAGTCTCCCTCATAGCTGTGTGATTTTTCCCTGTGGCTCCTCGTGCTTTAGTCTCCCCAGTTTAAGTTTAGTACTGTTTTTTGTGTTTCACTTTATGCCAGCATTAAAGCTGTGTTTTTGAGTTTACGTTTTGTCTCCGTGAGTTTGCGTTTGGGTCCTCTCCTGCCTGCCACACAGCCGAACCATGACATCATCACTTAATCACTTTAAGCATATTTGCACTGCACAAGACATAATGTGGATTGCACAACACTGGACATTATATTCTTCATTTCCAGTTAATACTTGTACAGCTGCTGTTATTGTGTATATATTTATTTATATTTCTTCATACATTCTTATATAGTTCTATATTGTGTATTTTGTTGTACAGTTATTTTATTTTCAACTTTAATTTATATATTTTATCTTATTCTTTCCCAGTTAAATTTACCCTTCATTCTAATTTGTGTTGTACAGTTATTTCATTTTTAACCTTAATTTATATTTTATTCCTTCCTAGTTAAATTTACCCTTTTTAATTTTTCATATTTATTTCCTATCTTATTCATAGCCTTTTCCTTTTTGTTTTCTTTAGGTCACGAGCAGTTGTCCAAGCATTTCACTACATATCGTACTGTGTATGACTGTGTACGTGACAAATAAAATTTGAATTTGAAGTATCACGCAGGGTGATAAAACCTAAAACCTGCAGGACACCGGCCTGGAGTTGGACACCCCTGGCATAAGTGTTAAGAAAATTTCCCATCAAAAGTACATCACATTTATTGCTTCTAAATAGAAACTGCGTAGAGTGTACTCCATTTACTGAGGCTTGCATCTAGAAAGGCAGCCAAAACGACAGTGTAGTATACAGAAGAGGATCAGATAACTGTCACATTGTTTCAGAGAAGTAAATCTGCTGAAGGGTGTGGTCTCTTCTGCTTGGCAAAATTGTACATTCACAATATGCTACAGTATGTAACAAAGTATGCACTTTGTCTAGCACTTTGAATTAATCCACTCTACTGATTAAACGTCTTAATTTTTTAGTTTCATTTAGCCTGTGTTATGTTGTGTTCACATGTATTTCCACTTCCCTGAATACCCCTCAATCCATATATTGTCTCCGTTTACCCTGGTCCTTTGTCAGAGCATCTGTTTAGTCACCTCTTTGTTGCCATGTTCCAAGTATTGCAGGTTTCTAGTCTTTAGTTTGTATCAGTCCAACGTAGTGCATTACTATAAATTTTTACCATAATATTGCGAACTAACCACTTTTGTCTCCACCAAACTGAACTAAACTGCTTAGTGTTTTCATGCAAACTTTTAGTAGGGCTAATTATTTAACCTATTTATCAGGTCTTTCACAATATGAACAAAACATAACTTCAGCAACAGATCACATATCTGATTCCTTTGACAATAACCTATCATCTTCCTCTTTTGTCCCAGCTTTCTTTCATTTTTTGTAATGTTACAAAAACAATTACCCTTTTTTGTTCTCTGGGAAATAAAGCATCTATATTTAGTTATCAAAAGCATTATGTGCAGAACTATTTGTGTGTTTAGCACTCTGAACA